GGGCAACCAAGAGTGGGGGAAAGCAAGAGAAATTGAGTGAGAGCTCTTGTGAGAGAAAAGAAAGAGAGAAATTGTGAGAAAATCCTTGTGTAGATTAAGAGAGAGTATTAGGGAGAATATGGGAGTTTCTATACATTGAAGCTAGGGTGTTGAGAGCTTCTTTAGTCAGAGAGCTTCTAAATTATTATACTCTTTTTCTTAATAGTGGATTTATTTCTCTTTTTCCCATGGACATAGACTTGTTAAGAGATATACAAGTTGAACCACGTTAAATTGTTGTCTCAATTTTTTTATCGCTTCCGTTTGTGTGGGATTGTGGGACTCAAAATTCCCAACAAGTGGTGTTAGAGCTAGGTTGGTAGAGCTCCTGGTGTTGTGGCGAAATGCAAACTAAAGCCATGAAGTATTTAATTGAGTTGTTCAATGGCAAGAATGACTTTGCTTTATGGCAAAGTACTATGAAGGATGTCCTTAATTGTCAAGGACTTGATGCAGCTTTAGAAGAGACCAAGCTAGTTAAGATGAAGGATAGTGATTAGAGTACCATCCAAAAGAAGGCAGCAAGTCAAATTCGGCTAGCACTTGCACCGGAGGTGAAATACAACATCCTTTTAGAGACTACTCTAGTGGGCGTGTGGAAGAAGCTAGAAGAGATATATGCTTCAAAATATTGAACCAATCGGCTGTGTTTAAAGATGGAGCTATATCAATTGTAGATGGTAGAAGGCACTAATATTCACAAGCACTTATTTGATTTCAACATGATAGTGACACAAGTAGTGAATGCCGGGGATATTTTAGAAGAAGAGGAGAAAGCTTTGCTTTTACTTGCATCCTTGCCGAAGTCTTACAAGTCCCTAGTGTAGTGCATGCTGGTGGGTAAGACTACTTTGGTGATGAAAGATGTCACAATCATATTGTTGGAGAAAGATAAGTTTCTTGGGGAGGATGATGGTGCCAATCAAAATAATGCTTTGGTGACGGAGCATTCTCAGGGAAGATCCTATAGACGTGGAGGAGGAGGAAATCAAGAAAGGTCAAAAATCTAGACCTAAGAAGGATTATGGTGAAGTGGAGTGTTTCTATTGTGGCAAGTTGGGTCATAAATAGTATAAATGCCCGAAGTTTAAGGAGGACTTTTCTAAGATGAAAATATTGATGAAAAGTCAAGAAACCAAGGGCAAGGGGGAGGCTAATACTATTGAAGAAAATGTACTATTAGTTTGTGAAGAATGTGATCCTGAGGTGGAGTAAAACAATTAAAGGTGGATGTTGGACTCCGCCGCAACCACGCATGTGTGCAATAATTTTTCAAAATTTGTGAGTTTGGTTCGGGGGGAGCTTGGCAAAATAATGGTGGCTAATGGTGAGAAGGTGAATATTGAAGGCACATGAGATGTTCGTCTCAATGTTCACAATGAGAGAGCCAAGATTCTCAAGAATGTGAGATATGTGCCTAAGCGTTCAAGAAATATTATTGCTTTGAGTGAGTTGACAACACGAGGGTGCAAGTATGTCAAAAAGCAAGAATGGTGCAAGGTCTACAAAGGTGGAAGACTTGTCTTGCGTGGGAGGAAGAACAAACACAACATCTATGTGCTTGAGCAACATCCCGAGAGAAGGCTCAACAAAACCATGAGGAAGATGGTGTGGAAGCCTAAATGGATCTTGGTAGATGGCAAGAAAATTAATAAAACCAAGAAGAAGGTGAGCTTCAACAATGAAGTGGTCTTTGATGATGGTTCAAGGAGGTGTGATTTTCCCTTGAATCATATCTTGGTTCAAAATTAATTTCTGTAGTGTACCTAGTGTAGGTTTGTCCTATCCTATACTAGGAGGAAACTTTCAAAAATAGGACACCATGATGAAGTGTTTTTGAGTAGGGGGAGCTAAGTCATGGTTGGTTTCTCCTCCCATGGGGTTGGAGGGGGAGATTGTTAGTAGAAAGTCCAACCCCATGCATGTGAACCCATGGACTTTCCATGTGGAAGTTTGCTTCACCAGCCTATAAGCCAATTGTGGGCTAGATTGCTTTGTTGAAATCTTTCGAGATTGCATGTTGACCCATTTAATGAGCAAAGAAAATCTTGGATGGGTGGTAATGAGGCAAAGAAAAATGGTGCATGGGTGGTTGGATTTTTACTATAAATACCCATGCATGCAAAGGCAATGGGCAAGCAAGAGTGGGGGAAAGCAAGAGAAATTGAGTAAGAGCTCTTGTGAGAGAAAGGAAAGAGAGAAATTGTGAGAAAATCCTTGTGTAGATTAAGAGAGAGTATTAGGGAAAATTTGGGAGTTTCTATACATTGAAGCTAGGGTGTTGAGAGCTTCTTCAGTGAGAGAGCTTCTAAATTATCGTACTCTTTTTCTTAATAGTGGATTTATTTCTCTCTTCCCCGTGGATGTAAACTTATTGAGAGGTATACAAGTCGAACCACGTTAAATTGTTGTTTCAATTTCTTTATCGCTTTCGTTTGTGTGGGATTGTGGTACTCAAAATTCCCAACAAAAATAGTTTAGAGTATCATTTTATTTCTACTCATTCAGAGATCATTGCACTTTTGCTTTCCCTTTTTGTGTCTTTCTCCATCTTTTCTATAAAATGTAGAGGTTAGAATTCAGACTATTGTTATTTGATTTAGAAACATTTTACTATCATTGAGAGAAATGTAATTAGAATTTTTAGTAATTAAAATGTCATTTGATACATAAGTATTGCATCTTATTCGACCAAGCTCTTGGTTTCTCGTCTCCACTATAGAGTTTCCTCTAAATAAGATACCATCTTTGGCTTTATAGGCATTGATAGTTGTTTGTCAATGCATGTGTCCAACTCATATATTGTGTGTTATTTGTTTTGATGGAACAATGTGCCTTGTACGATTTGCTTACCGTGTGACTCTTTCCATTTCTTTCATTTGAATCAAACCTTAATCAATTATGGTGAAGACAAAGAGCATATTGCTTTTTAATTGAACAATCTCCCCATGAACACCCAAATCCTTGGCTGGAAATATTTCTTTACCTCTGGCCGATTGAGAAACACTTGGCAGTGCGTAGTTTTCCTGATCCCTTCTTTTCCCACAACTCTGATCGCCCTGAACCCATTGACCTCATCACCTCGTTGATATACAAGTAATTTCAGCAGGGACATCACTTCGGCGTTGAACCCGTGAACCTTAGATGCATCCACATGCTTCGTAGTCTCTTGGAGAGTTTCCCATTCATCTGACTGCCCTGCCCGACCGTGCTTGGCTGGCGAACCAGGGTTTCATTAACATTAACTGCATCTTTGAGCCTCCACTACTAAATTTCCATCATTCAGCAACATGGAAGCACGTCGGGGAAAGTGCTACCCATGTTGCTGAAAGTACTTTAGCCACATGAAGCATGTTGCTAAAGCCTTTCTTGGAGAAGCCATGCTCGGTAATGTATCAGCAACAAGGTCCATGTTGCTGATACCTGGCACCCTCTTCACCGACGTACCTCTTGTTGCTGAAAATGGAGATTTACTGACATGGTTCATGTTGCTAAAAAATTCATCGGACCGGCCACCGGAATTTTTCACCATTTTTAGCAACATACTTTTTGTTGCTGAAACTGGAATATCACCGACATAGTTCATTTCAGTAAAAATGGTTACCGGAATTCTCCCCCATCCGTGCACTCTCTTTAGCAACATGAGCCACGTCGGTGAAAGTATACTTTCACCGACGTTGCTCATGTCGGTAAAAATGGTTACCGAATTCGT